CTGCAGTCTGGCCTCTCCTCCCTGTGCAGGCATTAGGCCCCGAGCCCCCTGTAAGGGCCTTGGCCGTTTCACATAACTGCTAACTGTGCCGACTCTGAGAGCATCTTTATTTCTAGCACATAATGACTTCCCTTTCTTAGCTCTGGCTTAGCATTGCTTCCTGGTTTTTATTTTGGTTGTATTTTTTCCAGTGTGTGTTTGTGTGTTTGTGGAGCAGGCAATTGGGAGACTGAAAATTATTCCTTATCAGCTCAGTCTGCCATATTGCCTCGAAGTCCAAAACAGTCTGCGAAGAGAGGCTTCTGGCACCCACTGTCACTTCCTGGAAACCAAAGTTGGATTTCAGACATGCCAAGTTGTGAGCTGTGAAAGGAACATGTGATCAGAGGGCTCTGTGGGGCAGGCGTGGGAACGCGGGCCCAGGGCTCTGAAGAGAGGCTAGGGAGAGGGAGGAGGCAGTCACCGCTGGGGCACAGAGGTGATGGCTGAAGCTCTCCAAGCCGGTGACATCCCCAAGGGATGGGAAATGGATTGGGGAGGGTGGGAACTGGGGTCAGAGCCTCCAGAACACTTGCATCTAGGGGGAGGAAGGAACAAAAGCAGGCGGGGAGGAGCCCGCTGCCAGAAGGGCAGGAAGGGCACCAAGCCAAGCGAAGAGATTTTTCAAGAAGAGGGCGATGAACAGTGTCCAATGTTGCGACGCTGTCAAGAGAGATGAGGGTGGCGAAGTCAGCAGAATCCATGGTTGGGAGCTTCTGAGAGGCAGCGCAGGCAGGGCCACTGAAGAATGTCTGGGAAAGGAGCAACTGGAGAGTGCAAGTATTGGTCTCCTCTGCCTTCCATCTCTTCGCCCCTCACCATCTCACCTCTTAAGGCTTGGGAAAGCCTGAAACAGGCAGCCCATGCCTGTCACCACCTTCTCAACATCAGAGCGGGGGCTACTGGGATACTTCCTGGATGAAAGACCCTAAACTCTGAAATACAAACACATCTGCCTTCTTAGGATATCTGCAAAGTAGCCATTCCCAGAACTGCAGCTCCATGACCCTGTGCCCCCAGATGTCTGGGAGTGAGAGCCCCGTTCCCAGAAGTTCCCTTTCCAAGTCACCACCCTGCAGACCAGGCCTCCTGGCCCATCAACTGAGATGTCCTAACAGCCAGAAACCTCAGTTTTCACTTGCTGCTGCAGATGAGTCAAAATCTCTGGATCAATTCAGTAGGAAAGAGTGAATCATAATAGGAACGCGCACAGAGCAAGCTGTGCGTGTGTGTGCGTGTGTGCATGTGCGTGCATGTGTGCGTGTGTGTGTATGTGTGTGATGCATAGCACATGATCCTAATTACTGTAAGGAGTGACTCACCCATTCTCCAGGAATCCCATACCCCCAGGTCACTCATGAATAAGTCAGTCTCCTCTTGGGACCGAGTTCCACCATTTTCCCAGTTGCTCAAGTGCAAAACCTATGAAACATCCTTCATTCCTTTCTTTTCCTCATCTCCAACATCCTATCCATCACAAGTCCTGCCAACCCCGTCTTCAGAATGCCTCTCCTATCAGTCTCCTGTTCTCCATGTCCACTGCCACTTCCTCCTCCCGGCCAGCATTGCCTCTCTCCTGGATTCTGCCCTAACCTCCTAAGGAGGCCCCATCCCACTGTGGGCTCCTTCCAGAGTCCCCCACTCAATTTTTTTTCTACCCAGTAGCAACTGTAATTAAAAAACAAGCAACTGTGAGCCAGATCATGTCGGTCTCTGTTTAAAACCCTTTTCTACACTTAGAATACAACCTAGTTCCTCTGCTGGGCCCTGGCCCTTCCTGATTGGTCCGGTTTCCCATGCACGGCATCCTGACCCACTCCTCCTGGCCCACTGTGCTCCTGCCCAATGGCTTTTGCGTTTCTTCCCGCTGTGGGCCTTTGCACTGGCTGAGCCCTCTGCCTAAAATGCGCGTGCCCTCATCTTGGCACCGCTGGCTCCTCTTGTTACTCAGGGGTCGGGCAGGCCTTCCCTAAACACCCGGTCGTTTCTATCACATCCTCCTGTTTCAGTCTTCTGATCATTTTGTTCCCATCTGACAGTTCTTTTCTCATTACTTCATGCATTCAACAAACATTGATCACTTCTTGTGCCAGGCAGACTAGGCATGTGTTTATTCTCCCTCAATAACATGTCTGTCTCCACTGAATAACATTAAAAAAAAAAAGCTCATGAAGACAGGGGCCTTGAGCAGAGCCTTAGGGCCTGGCATGGAGGAGGCATTCAATAAATATTTGATTTGCAGAATGAATAAGTACACACGGTAATGTGTACTCAGGAAATCAGAATTGGCTGATATAACTTCTAAGGTCTCATGGCTTTGAGGCAGCCAATATTCCAAAGTGGCCCTAGTACTGGGATAAATCAGACCCTGTCTGTATTTTTCCAGGCCAGCAAAGTTGATTCCCTCCCTGTTTGTGCATCTAGTCAGCATTAATTAAGCGCCTACTATGTGCAGGCCTGTGCCTGGTACCAATCTCGATCCTGTCCCAGCTCACTCAGCTGTTGGCACTCAACAGCCAGCAGGGGCCAGCCAAAAGGTTACCCTGTCCTATAGCTAATGACCAACTGGTCCTCACTGGCGGTCACCACTGGTGCAACCAGGTGGCAGGTCTCCTCCCACACCTGTAGCTCACTTCTTCCTGTTTCCCAGATACCCAGGGTTTCAGAGCAATGCCAGGGAGCCAGGCTGCCCTGTCCCCAGGGCAGGGAACCAGCCTCCCTTCTCCAGACCCATTGCCCAACAGCGAGAGAGCCTATTTCTCCAAGCCCTGCGCTCACCCTGGTTCCAACGCCAGGTTCCGTCACTGCCAGCTCATCTGGCACGCTGGCCAAGAACATGGGCTAGGAGGCCCGGCAAGGCAAGGCTGCAGCACATCGGCTTGCACCGCTGGCTCTGTGATCTTGGACAGGTCACTGTGCCTCTTGGACCTCAGATTCCTTTTCTGATAAATGAAGACTATAAATACTTCAGCAGTGCCCTGGTGCCCCTGCTCCTCCCTGCTCTTGGGCCCGAGGTCTCACCAGGACCAGATCGAGGGGCATGTGGGGGAGGGCTACATTTCTATGGCTAATCTTATTATCAGAAATTAGGAGCAAGAGAAGAATTCAATTCAGCACAATAAACATACACAATTCAAACAACAAGTGCATACTCAGCCAGGAACCTGGGACACAGGGGGGATCGGGCCTCATCATAAAGGCAGGCAGTCAGAGGGGAGGTGGACCTGTGAACAAAACTACAGAGCTATTATCTAATAGCTAGGTTGCTAGTTCAATCTCCTGTCGGGATGCATAGGGGAAGCAACCAATCACTTTCCAAGTGCTGTGTAAGGACAGGCGTGGAGAGTGTCAGGGATACAATACAGTCTCGATGCCTCTGAGCTGGGTGATCAGGATGAAGGGGAAAGATGATGTGTTTGGCCTTCTCTGTTTCCCAAATGCTCTGTGTACACCAGTGTCCTTGGACTAGCAGGACAGGTGGGTGAGTGGTGGCTTGTGAGACTCCTGACAGCCCTCATAACCATAACTTAGAGGGCCCCTGAGAGCCACAATACCGCTGACAGGAAGGTCTATGCACCGTGAGATTCATCGTTCACTCCTCTGGGTCCATGCATAGCTCCCAGCAGTCCAAGAAACAATAACAGCATCTACATGATGGAAAATTCATTTCAAAAAGACTCTCTAAGCAACTTTTGAAAAAAAGCCTCAAGCTCAGATGGAGTCGGGGAATCACAGGGCTGGCAGCTACTGCATAAACCAGCAGCTTCCAAACTTGCTTTCCACCTCTAAAGCTATTGCTCTACTGAAATTCACCCAGAAGCCGGTATACAAAACTGATACAAACAGAGCTGCTCTGCTAGAAATAGTGCCCCACTGTCTACTTGGCACCCTCCCCCTTCTCCCCCAGCCCCTGGCACCCTCACCCCGGCAGCTCCAAGGAACCCCTGGGGCTCCAAAAGCAGTGATGGAAAACCGCTAACCTAGGCCAACCTCTCTGAGTAGATATGGGAAACGAGTCCCACAGGAGTCACGCTCTGCACTGCGCCTGAACACAAACCCAGGTCTCTGAGTCTAAGCTAACACTCCTCACCCGACTTCGCTAAAGCTAGATCGATGGAAAATTGCACTTTAAAGCAACAAGGCTCAAATCTGATCACCTACACATAATCCCTAAAAGCCCTGGAACTAGCCAAGTGTGAAACAGAGCCCAGCCCCACAGGCTGGCAGGGAGAAGGTCGGAAATGAGTTGCAGAAGCACAGCTGACAATTCCATAGCGTTTCCTTCAGTTCCGCGGGACATAAACAGGTCTTGAAAGGCTTGGGCTGCGTGGCTGTGAGACCCTGGACCAGGCAGCCAGGAGGTGAATGCTAACGAGCTATGGAAATAGCGATTACTTTCCCCGTGTCAGGCACCGTGCCAAGCTAAGGAGGATAAAGAGGTCTGAGATATTTTTATAGCAGAGAAACTTTCCTACGGACTCAATTATATAACTATCAGACTCCACCTCTGGGCTGAAACTACCCATGGCCTTCAGGAAAAAAGCAGTTTTCCCTACAGGAGGGTCACAGGTTTCTCCAGAGAAACTCCTAGCTATATGGCCAGCAACCCACAGCAGCTGCAAACCATCAGCCCAGAGACCTAGCCAAGCACTGTTCGGCGCCTGCCAGAGACGAATACCAGCCAAGCGGAGGGCAGGAGTCGTGCGCTGACCCGGCCGTCACACTGGACGTGGTAGGGTAGAGGAAGGTCCCAAACTCATCCACATCGGTGTCCTCCCGACTTCCTGAGGCCACTGAAGAAGAGAAGGTGCCCAGGGAGCAGTGCCTGAGCCCCCAGTCGCCCTCCGTTGTTGGCACAGGGCGGACAGGCAGAGAAAGCCTCTGGGGCTGAAGGAATGAGGGGCTGCAGCACTGAAGTGACAGCCAAAATCAAAGGGACAGACTCAGGAAGATTCACTTACAGCCCAGGTCTTTGTCAGCCTGAAGATGGGTGCACTTTGTAATGCCGACACCACAGACATGAGAGAGTGAAGGTTGTTGAGTTCTAGGAGTTTCTGGGGGGAAAAGATATGGAATAGATTATTTTGCTGCTATAAACAACAGAACAAAAACACGCTCAAGTGTTACCAAATGTCATATTTATGAAATTCAATTGCACTTAAAAATATCTCATGTAGAAAATGTAGTTCTAGGAAGTTCATAGAAACCATATGCTCTTTTCCTTTCAAATTGCCACAAGGTGAGTTTGCAGCTACAACATTTGCAAAATTTCATAAGCTGACTAGTCTGGCTGCTGGACAGAAACATGGCTCAGAAGAAGGTTTGATAATGTCCTTTATGTTTTTTTGGGTTTTTTTTAGACAAATCTGAACAGTCCCAGCAGGCTTTTGTGCACTGAAACCTCAGCTGGCCAACATCAGCGTGGGTCTTTGGTGATCACCTGGACACTGAATCGGGGGCTAAGGAAAGGCGCCATCAGTCTGCATAACCCGCCTCAGCCGGCAGGACAGATCTGGCTTTCCAGCCACTTGACCATACTCCTCTGAACCAGACCCGGAATTAGTGAGAACATTTGGATTCAATTCAGACTCAGACAAGTTCCTTGCCATGGAGGGCAACAGAAGGAGACACAGTCAAGAGTAAGTGCAGAAAAATGTAATGGCTCTGGTCCTGGTTTTATGCGAGGGAAGCCTACTAACAAGACAGGGGTCCCAGTCTCATTCTCGGGAGTCCATGAAGCCTGGGTTAGCAGCAGGCTCTCCAGACCCCCCACCCCCGGGGCATCCACTCTTTGTGTGTCCATGGCACAGGTCACCACTTCAAACACTACTCCTGAGCCTTGGCATCCTCATAGTTAAAACAAGGAAGGGCCCCAGCTGGTTTGGCTCAGTGGATAGAGCGTCAGCCTGTGGACTGAAGGGTCCCGGGTTCGATTCCAGTCAAGGGCACATGCTAGGTTGCGGGCTCGATCCCCACTGGGGGGTGTGCAGGAGGCAGCTGATCAATGATTCTCTCTCATCATTGATGTTTCTCTCTCTCTTCCTCTCAGAAATCAATAAAAATATACTTTAAAAAAAACAAACAAGGAAGGAAGTCACGGCCCCTCTGCTACCTGGGACGGCACATGTAAACTGCCTAGACCAGGGCCTGACGCCAGGGTCAGCACTCATGGTGATGTGAGTTGCTCATTCTTTGTCAGGAAGACGTGTCCCCCCATATCCCCCGTCACTCATCTTGGGTACTTCCAAGCTCAGGTGCTACTGCCTCTACTATGTCTTTCCTGACCATGTTCCCAAGTCTGGGGACCCCACTGTCTGACCCCACAACAGTCTGTGCCTCTCCTTAGCACACTGGACGGTGCTCCCTGAGGGCTGGGGCAAAGTCGTGCCTGCCATTACGTCCCCAGTACCTAGCTCAGCACCCAGGAGGGCCTAGTGAAATGGACAAATAAGTGAAAAGCCCTCATGCCTAGTCTTCATGGCTTTGCTCCTACTTGGAGATTTCTCCCTTACCACAACGTTCAGACTTCACACATCTTGTAACGTTCTCTAATTGTTTCCTGCTGTGGAATAACAGATTCTCTGTGCGAACAGAATTTCGTCGTATGTAACTGAATTACTATACCTGTTACAGAATTTCTTTAGAGCTGAAGGTCCTCTGGGACAGCAATTACCAATCTTTCGGACCTCACGGACCACCAGTGGTCCGCAGACCACCGGTTGGCGACCGCTGCTCTGGGAGATGATCCAGTCCACCCCTTCCCTTGTATGGATGGGAAACTGAGGCCCAGAGGAGGAGGAGCCTGCACAAGCACATTCCCAAGGCACCGTGCAGCATGGCGGTCCACCATCGGAAGATGGCAGAGGTTAAAAGGGATCCCTTTAGGTCCCTTGGGTGGGGACCATAAACTCATTTCCAAACAGAAAGCACGAGGTAGGCTGGAACGTAATCGCACTTTCTCACGAGGCCCAGCACAAACTCGCTAACAGCAAGTATCACGAAGCCCAGCCTGGTCCAAGTACTTCAGACACACAGGACATAACAGTGCGCCTAACACACATACTTCACAGATGGATGCCCTTAACCTTCCTCGAGGGAAGGCAGGAGAGCAGCTCCCCAGAAGGCATGCCCCACGGACTCTGTGGGCCCTGGGCATGGACACTCACCTCGCTAGCCTCCCTTTCGTCCTCTGGGAATGGGATAGTAATCATGTGACATTGACTACGATCATTTCCCTAAAGCTCCTACTGCGGTGCCTGGCTGCTGAGGGGCCTCAGTAAAGGTTAGCTGGCCTAGGATCGGGGTGGGGAAACAACAGGTGCACATGAAGCAAGGAGTGGACCAGGCAGAACAGTGTTCCACTGGTCAGGCAAGCTGGAGGCCGGGAGAAGTGTGTGGGGAGGAGGTGGCTGGGCTGTGTAAGTGATGAGAGTGGTTCAGAAAGGCCCCTGGGACCACAGCGGGGCTGGCAGAGATGAGGGAAGAGGGGAAAGGTGGGATGCACACATGAGCCGATACCCAACTACTGACAAGGACAGAACCCGTCAGGCAGGAGTTGGGAGTGGGAGCAACAGGGTCATCCGGCCCAGGTCTTAGCTCAGGATGGGTGGGTGAGCTTTGCTGGCTGGGGACAAAACTGCAGGATGTGATGGCATCACAAAAATCAATGCTAAGTAAACTCACCAACCCTGAACTGACTAAATTTGAAGGAGGAGGAGGATGGATCCCAGGGGTAGCCCTGGGGCCTCATGGAGAGTGTGAAAGGCCAAAGAGAATAGCTGGCTGCCAAAATCACAGGGTGGAGGAGCATGCTGCCAACTGTGTGCATGGGGGGCGGGGAGCCGAGTGGGCATCCAGGTCAGTCTCCCAGCTGCCTCTGTCTGGGGAAGTCAGGTCACCACCCCCTATCTGAACCCTGCCCAGGCAGACCCAGAGCACAGCTGCTCCCAAATTATTGAGAAAACATTTTTTAAATATTTTTTTTATGGATTTCAGATAGGAAGTGAGAGGAAAAGACAGATAGAAACATCAATGAGACAGAATCATTGATTGGCTGCCTGAAACCCAGGCATGTGTCCTGACCGGGCATGTGTCCTGACTGGAAATCGAATCCTAAGCTTCTGGTTCATAGCTTGATGCTCAACCACTGAGCCACGCCATCTGGGCAGGGACACATTTTTGAGACAGAGAGAAAGGAAAGGAAAGGGGATTGAAAAAATAAAAAAACAGCTTACCTTGGCTATTTTCACAAAATGGCTCAGGATTTCTGCCCTTATTTTTAAAGTCTGTGCTGTTAGAATTTCTCGTACAACCCAAAAGCTGACCTGTAGAGTCAAATACACAAACAGACAGACAGATAGACACACACACACACCAGAAAAGTTGTTAAATGCTGGGCCACCATGTCACCCTGCCACCACTTTTAATGGGATTTCCAAGAGGCTGGGAAACTGGGAAAGCATCACCCAGGGTTGTGTGAGGTCTCGGGTTCCTTAATGACACCCTACCTGGCAAATGGGTCCCCTACTCTCAGCACCACCTCTCCAACACACAGTGGTGCTGAGAGGTCAATACTTTTGTCGTCCCCCAGGGGGTTAGTTATTGCGCCTCCATGACAGGAGTCTCTCGACAAGCGCTGCAGGGAATTCTGAGATGGGTCAGACAGGATTCCTACTCAGAAGGATCCCAGATGTGGGGAGGCCATGGATGGATGGATGGATGAATGGACAAGTGGCCAAAGGGATATGCATACTGTCAGTACCACCCACGAGATCCATATCCTCAGCCAGACCTAAGACAAGAAGAATTTACCAATATTCACACAATTGTAACAAGTTTAATTTTCTAGGGTAGGGTTACCCAAATACTAATGAAAATGACACAGAAATATCTTACAAAGTTCCATAAAACAATGCAGATTAAGGACATGTTTTTGTGGAGACAGCAGATGCCAAAGAGCATCCTGGTTCAGAACATCACTCATCACTCATGCTTGACCTCTCACATAAATCAACATCCTCAAGCCCCCAAGTCCTTTGGTGGGACCAAGAAAGTCATCTCCCCATGTGTAGGTGACTCGCATGACACCTCTGAGAACACAGAGGAGCTTTATGCCGAGAGCTCTGGGGAGTGGCCAGCTTTCTGGCTGAGGTTTCACTGCTGCCACGGCTCTTTGCAGAGCACAGAGGCTAAGAGGGCAATGAACCTCTAAAGAGAAAGGTGGGGAGCAGGGACAGGGTGTGGGGTTCAAAGGAAGGCGGGGCATTGGAAACCTCTAAATTCTACTAAGCAAAAATTAGTTAAGAATATTCTAGAGTTAACAAAGCACGTTTACTGCTGCAACCAAATGTATCCTCTTTACTGAAGTACTGGCCCTTTCCAATGAGAAAACAAGGAAAGAATAACCAAGAATCAAAACTCTGCTTTTCACATTAAGCAGGAATATTATAGAAAAGTTTTCTCTGCATAATTATCTGTGGTTGGTTCCAGGACATGCCCTGGTTTCCATAGAATCATTTTTTCCCAAGGAATTGCCTAAAATTAAGTTCAGACTCAAATGTTTACTAGCCAGTTATGGAAGGAAGATATTCTGGATACCACGTGATATACCCATAAACCTTATATTTTAATACATGGACATTTTTATGCCACATAATTTCCAATGTGATCATGTATGTGTCCTGTATAATTTAATAAATTCCTGCATGCCAAAAAATCACACATATTTTTAGAGCAGGAGAGTTGACTCTGATCTGTAGCATATGGCATGTGGAGGCAACTCTAGGTCAATTCAATCCAACAGACTTTCATGAAGCCCTAACTGTGTACAGGCTCCAGGCACTGCAATCCAGACCCTATCAGTGCTTGCCTGGTATGGAGGTGACCAGAGGAGGAGGCAGCTGGTGGTGGTGGCCTGGCCTGGAGTATGGGGGAGGTGATGATAGAGGAGGGCTTCTTAGAGGAGGCAGGTCTTGAAAGGTGGGTAGACTTTCTACAGGTAAAGGTAGGACTGAGGTTTGGTGTATACACCAGGACCAGGGAGAGCCAAGTAGACTAACGCAACAGCTGTGGGGTGGAGATGATGAAGGGGATTTGATGCTAACAAGGGAAGTGAAAGCCAGATTGTAGGGGTCTGGAGAAATAAAGTGATAAGAAGGACCTAAGACAAATAATTACACACAGGAGAGTCCCAGAGGCTTCTGAGCAGAAGAATGACAGGCTAGATCCCTTTATAGGAACACCCAACAGGAAGTTGGTGCAATGGTCTAAGTGAGAGGTGGGAGGCCTGAGCTAGGGCCATGCTGAGGCAGATGGAGGAAGGGGCAGGTAAGGAAGATATTACAAAGGTAGGATCAGCAGTTCTAAACATTTTTAAAAAAATATTTTTATTGATTTCAGAGAGGAAGGGAGAGGGAAAGAGAGATAGAAACATCAATGATGAGAGAATCACTGATTGGCTGCCTCCTGCATACCCCCTACTGGGGATCAAGCCCACAACCCAGGCATGTGCCCTTGACTGGAATCAAACCTGGGACCCTACAGTCTGCAGGCCAACGCTCCATCCACTGAGCCAAACCAACTAGGGCCTAAACATTTTTGATTCTCTTTTCTAACTACAAAATTTAAAAGAAGCTTAATGTTGAAAACAAGGGAAACGGAGATAAGCACAAAAGATGAATCACTTGCAACATACAGACCACCAAGATAACCACTGTGGTGTGTGTCCGTCTAGCTAGCCTTTCTTTCCAAAGAGTATACGTTGCATGTTAATCATATCACAAGAATTTCTATAAGTGAATAAATATTCTTCCACATCATACTTTTTAGCGGTTGCTAGGTATTTTATCTTAGGAATGTAGCATCATTAAGTGATCCCCTATTGTTGGGTAGGTTATTTCTAATTTTTTGTTGTAGAAAAGAATGTTGTGGTGCCTTGGCCAGATTGCTAAATGGTTAGAGCGCGGGCCCGCACACAGAAGGGTCTTGGGTTTGATTCCCGGTCAAGGGCACATACCTGGGTTGTAGGTTTGATCCCCGGCCCCGGTTGGGATTCATTCGGGAGGCAGCTGAGCAATGAATCTCTCTCATATCAATGTTTCTTTTTCTCTTGCTCTCTCCCTCCCTCCCTCCCTTCCTACTTCTCTAAAAAAATCAATGGAAAAAATATCCTCGGGTGAGGATTAACACATAAAAAAATTTTGCTGTGGTGAGTGTATATATATATATATATATATATATATATATATATATATATATTCACATATTTTTAGTTAATGTCTTAGGATAAAATTCCTGTAAGGTGGAATGAATAAAAGTATGTGTACCTATTTTCCAAAAGTAGATATAAAAAACTTGGCCTCTAAAAGGTCTATTTGTTTATCTATCAACAAGTTTGAGCAGATCCGTGTTCCCATACACAGGCACATGTACCAGTTATTACAACTCTTTTTTTCGTTACTAAACTAATGGGCAAAATAATATCTCACTGTTTCTATTTTGCATTTCTTTAATGACTGCTCAATCAACATTTTTTGCCTTCTTTTCAGTTTTTTGTTACAAATATTTATAGGTCACTTGTACTATTTGCCTTGTGAATTACCTGCTCAGGTCCTTCACCCATCTTTCTATTGGGACATCTGTCCTCTTACTATTGATTAGTAAATGGTCTTTGTATATTAAAGAAAACACATTAACCCTTTGTGAGTCATACATTGTACCAAAAGTGTGAAGAAACTGGTACTTTTGGACACTGTTTTGGTGAATATAAATTCACAGGACCATTTTGAAGAACAACTTGAATGTGTCTTTAAAGTTATATTCTCCCTAGAATATTTACCTTATGAATATAGAAATTTAGAGGGACATATGTACAAAGGTTCCCTGACGCACTGTTTATAAAGCAAAAGAATAGAAAATGCCCATCAATAGGGAATTGGTCACATAAATAATACTTTCACCTCAAACTCTCCAAGGAAGATGCTATAGAGGGAAGAGGGCAGCTGTGCTTGCTCCACCTTCTTGAGGGCAAACGATCTACATTAATTATTTGGAATTCTTCTGCATAGGAGGTTTGTCTTGTCTGCCCCCTTTATTTATCCAATCACTTATTTATGTCAGAATGGACTCACCTATATTTATTTTATACTTTGGGTTCTGATCCAATACTGTCATTTATTTTGTTGCTCAGCTCATTCCCACTTCAGCCACTGAGGCCTCTTTCAGTTGGTTCCTGCGTCCCTTCCCTTTGACCCCCAGCATTGCTTTGGTTTGTGGGCTTGTTTAAGCATTTCCTTATTTTCCAGCACTATAAGGTGCTACAGGCTCATCTTGGACATTTCTTGCCCCAGTCCTAAACCAGCCACTTTTCTCCAAAAAGCCTGGGTTCCTTTTAGTAGACAATGAGATTAGAAGCCAAATACCTAGCAGTGCATTGCTGGGTTGTGTCTGCACTATTTTGCATTCCCATCAGCAATGAACAAGAGTTTGTGTTGCTCTGGGTATTTGCTAGCAATTGGTATTTGTCAAATTTTGTTTATTAGCTATTTTAATTGGTATGTAGTCTTTTTCATTTTCCAGTGACAAATGATGTTGAGCATCTTTTCATGTTTATTTGCCATCTGCACATCTTCTTGGGTGAGGTGTCTACTCAGATCTTTTGCCCATTTTTTAATTGGGTTGTTTTCTTATTGTTGAATTTTCAGAGTATATTTTGGATACAAGTTTTTTATCAGATATGTGTTTTGTAAATATTTTTTCCAGTCTGTGCTTTTTTTAAAAAAAATTCTCTTAGCAATGTTTTTTGCAGAGTAGAAATTTTTAATTTTAATGAAGTCCAACTTTTCAAGTTTTTCTTTCATGGATTGTACTTTTGGTATCATATCTAATAAATAATCATCAAAGGTCATGTAGATTTTCTTCTATGTTTTTTCCTAAAAGTTTGATAGTTTTGACTTTTAGCTTCCACTTAAATTGCCACTATTTAGGAAAGTCTATCAAGTCTGACCTATAGTTTTGACTTTTACATTTAAGTCTATGTCCATTTTAAGTTAATTTTTATGAAAGATGTAAACTCTAGGTTCATTTTTTTATATATGCTGAAAAAATTCCAATTATTCCAGCATCATTTGTTGATAAAATTACCCTTTCTCCATTGAATGTCCCTATGCATTTGTCAAAGACCAGTTGACTATGTTTGTATGGGCCTACTTCTAGGCTCTCTATTGCAGCAGTCGCCAACCTTTCGGACCTCACTGACCACCAGTGGTCTGTGGACCACCAGTTGGCGACCGCTGCTCCAAAGGTTTCCTTAAACCAGCAGTCGCCAACCTTTCGGACCTCACGGATGACCAGTGGTCTGCAGACCACCAATTGGCGACCAATGCTCTATTCTGTTCCACTGTCTTAGATGTCTAGTCTTTGGTCAATATCATGCTGTCTTTATTACTGTAGCTTTTCTGTCTGTCTTGAAATCAGGTAGAGTGAGTCTGCCAACTTTGTTCTTTTTCAGTATTATGTCTTTAGTCTTTCCATATAAGCTTTAGAATCAGTTTATTGATAGTTATAAAATAGCTTGCTGAGATTTTGATTGGGCTTGAACTGAATCTACAGATCAACTGGGAAGAACTTAATAATGAATCTTCTAATCCATGAAAATAGAATATTTCTCTATTTATTTCTATCTACTGTGCTTTTTTGCATCAGTGTTTTATAGTTTTCTACAAACAGAACTTGTACCTAGTTGTTAGTGTTATACCTAAGTATATTTCTTCGTGTGTTTGTGTACTATTGTAGATTTTTTTTAATTTCAAATTCCAATTCTTCGTTGCTGGTATAGAAAATGTTCTGTATATTGACCTTACAAACTGCAACCTTGCTATACTCACTTATTAGTTCCAGGATGTATTTTTAAAAAATAGATTTCTTTGAGATTTTCTAAATAGACAATCATGTCATCTGTGAATAAAGACAGTTTTATTTCTCCCTTTTTGACCTGTATATCTTTTCTTTTCTTGTTTTATTGCGCTAGTCAGGACTTCCGGTATGAATGGCAGTGTTAAGAGAGTGCACCCTTGCCTTGTTCCGAATCCTTTGGGGAGAGCACCAGTGTCTCACCATTAAGTGTGATGTTGGCTGCAGGACTGTTGTAGATATTCTTTTATCAAGTTGAAAAAGCTTCCTAATTTGCTGAGATTTCCGAAAAAGTCATGAATGGATGTTGAATTTTGTCAAATGCTTTTTTGAATCAATTAGTATGGTAGTATGATTTTTCTTCTTTAGCCTATGAATACACTGTATTACATGAGTTGATTTTCAACTGTTGAACCAGCCATGTATACCAGTCGTAGAATAAATGCAACTTGGTCATGGTGCTAATAAGCTTTTAAAATACAGACACTATTATTATCACCATTATTGTTCCAGTGGTATAATTAGCACTAGAGTTTAGCCACTGAAGACTAAGATATCCCCTGGGAAATATCTCAACAGTATTATAGATGAATAAAGCAAAATAGTTATGAACACAAAGAAATTTATTTAATCAACCACAAATAAAACAATCAAAGCATAAAGTAAAGAAAAATTCAGTCAAGAAAAGACAAATACTGTCTTTTCTTATGAGAAATCTACTTTGCCATAAATTTCTCATAGGCCCATTCACAGTTTTCTTAGAAACCTGGAGTTAGAAGGGACTTCAAGGCCCCCTCTTCCCCTCAACCTCCGCACCCTCCACCCTCAGCCCCATGATGTTCTACAGTCACTGTGATAAAGCCCTGTCTGGTCTCTGCCTGGGCTTTCATGGGTAGGGAACGAACTACCTTGTATTAGGGTAAAGCACTGCCTCCCCACTCCCATCCTCTGGTTCCTACACTTACTGATTGGGCCCTATAGGTTATGCTTGATCAGCTTCCCCAGAGGAACCCCTCAATTACTTGAAAAAACCCTGATTATCTCCTCCCTGAGTCTTCTCAATCCTAGAGCCTTCACTTGGTCCTTATGTAACATGCTTTCTTTCCCCTCACCCTCTGGCCACTGTAATGTTGACATGCCACTCCTGCGTGACAGTCCCCCTGCTCTTCATGCGAGGCACCCAGGAGTGGCTGGATAAAGCAAAGGAAAGTGAGATCACCACACACCATTAGAATGGCTAAAATAAATAAATAAAAATTTAAAACCCTGACAATACTAATTGCTGGCAAGGATCTGAAGCAACACAAACTTACATTCATTGCTGGTGGGAATGAAAAATGGTACAGACACAATCCAGTGATTGTACTCCTAGGTATTTACCAAGCGTATTTGAAATTTTGTGACCACACACACACTCAGAGAGAGAGAGAGAGAGAGAGAGAGAGAGAGAGAGAGAGAGAGAAACATGCATTTGTTTACAGCAGTTTTGCTCATAATTATAGAAAACTGGAAGTAAATAAGATATCACTCAGTAGGTGAATGGGTAGACAAGCTGGTATGTCCATACAATGGAATCGTATTCATAAAAAAATTAAGACATCAAGCCATATAAAGACGTGGATGAATCTTAAATACATATTGCTCAATGAAAGAGCCAGTCTGAAAGGGCTCTTTATATATGATCCCACCCACTTTGACATCTGAAAAGGGGAAAGCTATAGAAATGGTAAACAGATCAGGTTCTGGATCACTGTCTTCCTCTCCATACCAAACTCTGCCTTCTTCCTTGGGCAACTTCAATATCACTGTGCGTGACTGTGGCCTCAAGGTTCCTTGGCCACTTCAGCAACTCTTACCCCACCTACCACTTCAGTCACCTCCTCCTCATAATCACCCAGAACTGCTCTGCACCAGAAACTTTAAATTCCAGTCTTGGGCCACAACCTTTCAACCTTCCCTTATCCCGGAGCCCCCGCTGTGCCTGTTCTTCCTTTTCACCACACCTGCAGTCCCCAGCAGCCCTTTCCCCTGAGCAGACTGCTCCCCTATCATTTGTCACTTCAGCCCTTAGTCAGCACTTTAAGTTCCCTTGCCCTTGCTCCTTCAAAAACTCTGCTTTGCTAACCCCGACCTGTGGCTGGATCCAAGCATTTGCCCTCCTATGTCCCTACTCCCAGGCTGCAAAGTGCAACTTCAGAAAACCATCTACCCTTGTGCACTGGAACCACTTTAAAAGTCACAATCTCCGTTTCATCTGGGCCATCGTCTCTGCCCAAGAGTCTTTCTATATTTCCACAGTCAGCTCTCTCCTTCCCCTGGAGTGGCTTTTTCGTTTCACTTTCATAACAACCGTGCAAGGTGAGTATTGTTACTGTTCTCACTTACAGATAAGGGAACTGGGGCTCAGAAAGGTAAGTGACTGCTTTCCTTTGTCTGGAGTCCGATGGGGAAGCTTGTTCTCGCATATGGAAGTCTGCTAGGAAGGAATGCCAATCAGTTTATCTCAGGGAAAGCAGCCCAGTGGCTGACCAGACCTGGCCACCGGCCAGTTTTCAAACCGGAGCTACCAGAGTATGTCCAGGAGCTGCTGCTCTGAGGAGCTGACAGGCCGCAGGAAGACCCTCTCTCAGGGTACCGTTTGGGAAAGTGTGGCTTTGCTCTGGTTTGTTGTATTGGTCTGATCTGGACACGATGCAATTGTTCGCAGGATGAGCCATGCTGCCCTTGGCCAAGCTGACCTGGCCTCCTGTGCAAAGCAGATTACATCAGAGCCCCCAGTGGCCTCCGGGAGCTCAGCGGCTGGTCGGAGGTGGGACAGAGCTGGCTCTGAGTCAGAGAGTTTTGCTAGGAAACTATGAATCCCCTGATAGTGTGTGCACATCTGGTTTTTGGTGTGTTTTCTTAAAAGACTAAGCTCAGTTGAAAAGGAAAAGATTTTGAAAACAAAGAAAAAAGAAACAAAAGACTTTAGAACTTCCTTTTCAAAACAAACGGTGTGCACTCCCTACCGCCGTCAGGCGCTCCTTAGTTCCCATTGTCTCATAAAACAAGTCATGGAGGACTCGAGCTGGTGCCTCTCTGAGGCTCCTGCTGTGCTCGGGGTGGCAGCCCAGACTGGGGAGGTCTGGAGGGGCTGGGTAATGTGATGCACAGGACCCGGCATTTCCAAGAGGGAACACCCAGCTGGAGGAAGGCGCCCGAGGGAACCCAGGCCCATAACCCAGAGATCCAGTCGTGCACACCATGCAACCTCTAGGCCACTGCCCTCATTTGAAACCAGTAAAACAAGCAGAAAATAAGAACAACTGTCAACAGCACCATTTAAGGGCTTGATCTATCCAAAGGGGTCTTGCAGGGTGCTTCCTACTGATGACCATGTCCTGGGAGATCTGACAGCAATCAGAAGCCCACCCCTTCAGCAGGCCCAAGTCCCCACTATCACTTAGTAAGTAGGGATGCAGATCTTCACACATGGAACAAAGGTTCTGGCTGGACCTAGTCAGTTTGTAGTAGGATGTATGAGGCCAGTGAGCAGGCCATCGGGAATTCAAAGAAATTCACTTCAAGGAATGCTTCCTGAGCACCTCATTCACTCATTCCACATGCATTTACTGAGGGTCTATTCTATGCTGACCTTGGGCAAAAGGTGGGGGACGCAGTGATGAACAAGGCAGACACAGTTCCTGCCCTCATGGAGCCCACAGACGGGGAAGGAAGCTGGAGACTGGAGAGTCACACAAAATGAGGACAGGTGAGTGAGGGCCACATGGAGAAGCACAGGTGCAGTGAGGGAACGCATGACGGGGAGACCTTATACAGGCTGGGGTTCATGGAAGACTCCCCAGGAAGTGCCGTTCAGGCTGAGGAAGAATTCTGAGCTGAGAAGACAGCATGCATGGAAGCCTGACGGGACAGAGGTATGATGCATTGGGAAAGGGAAGGAAGGCCAGGGTGGCTGAAGCCCACAGAGTAGGGGGAGGGGCAAGAGATGAGGCTGGCAGGTGGACATAGCCAGATCCACCATGCAGGACCTTGCAGGGCAATTAAGGTGCTTGAACCTTAGCTTATGTGGAATTGGAAGCCACTGAAGTGATTTAAACACAGGAAAGATGTGTTCAGTTCCACCTGCTGTGAGAAAAGAGGACTGTGATGGCCCAAGAATGGATGAAAGTGGGGGTTCAGGAAGAGGGGCCTGGACCTGGGACCAAGTGCTTGGAATTGAACCCCAGCAGGGCTCCCCAGTCTACAGGTGGCAACACTGCTATTGGACAGGCACATGCAAGGGGATGCTTACCTGGTTAAACCTCCGGGTAAAGGCCACAACGTTTGGGGCGAGACTATGTTTCTCCTTCTTACTCCATCCACAGCTGGCTAGTTCCTAGGAAGCAAAGAGTCCATTTCAACAGTGGCTCTAATTGGGATGCAAACACAGCAGGGGCACCTGATTGGAACGTGGATATGGAGGTGGGGAAGAGCTATCCTCACCAGAGTGGGAAGATCCTCTGCCTCTGGAGAGGAAGGCTGGGAGGAGGCACTTCCTGGGACCCTAGAGATGAGAAGGGGGATGCTTTCTCTACAGCCCTATTCCCCAGGACTTCTGTCCAAAATACTCAACCTCACCACTGCCACTCCACCAGCTTCTCTGGGACCAGAAATCCCTTCTTGACTCAAATTGTCTGAGAGAGGACATAACGTTTTAACTAGTGGGACTCATCCCCCCCAAAGGCAAACTCGAAATTTAAATCTGGCTGGAGAATCTCAGGTTTCATCAGCTACATGACATCCTCTATTCCTGGGGTCAAGGAAAGCCTGACCCAAGCCCACTGCAACCAGGGAAGCTTCTGGGATTACCTTGATTCCTACCTGAAGCTGGACCCTCCCATCCATCATATAACCAAAGGGGACAGAGGAGAGGTTCCCTTTAATATCTCTTTCCGGGGCCTTGTCTCTTCTTTTTCAGCAGGCTTAGCATTATAGTTTGATCAAACTACCTAAAATTTACCTTTCCGTGAGGCTGGTTCTGATCCAAGGGAGATAACAGGAGCAATCTAAGGGGATTGTATAAAAGGACCAAGGAAAAGCCCCTATTCAAATGCCTAGCATTCTCAGCTGGTGCCTGTGGAGCCCTGGCAGAGAATGGGGAAAGGGGTAGATTCTGAAGTTCTCCACCCCTAAGTGACAAGACCTCCTTTTAGTTCATATCAGGCCTCAGTATTATTAATAACATTATTTTACCACACACCTGGAACTTTTATAAGATCTTTAGTGAGAGCCAGCTGTCCACCAACTGGAATAGACACAGATCAGAGTCTGCTAGAAAGCCAGAGAGGGCAGCAGGAATGGACAAGACAAAACTTGCTGGCTGAGCAGTTATGCCTAAAGTGCCGTGCCCTTCCAATGCACCTCAGGACCCAACTTTAAACCACAGCCTAGCTCAGGGGTGGGCAAACTTTTTGACTCGAGGGCCACAATGGGTTCTTAAACTGGACCGAGGGCCGGAACAAAAGCATGGATGGAGTGTTTGTGTGAACTAATATAAATTCAAAGTAAACATCATTACATGAAAGAGTACGGTCTTTTTTTTTTTTAGTTTTATTCATTTCAAACGGGCCGGATCCGGCCCGTGGGCTGTAGTTTGCCCCCGGCTGGCCTAGCTGAAGGCAATGGACAGCTCTGGACACCAGATGAATGACCTGGCCTTGAGAACGACTGAGAACCAGCCAGAAGCTAAAAACAGCTCCTCTTCCTGGCCACCTCATTTCTGTAAATGGCATCACCGCCCTCCCGGTCACCCACATGAGGAAACACAACCATCCCTGACCCTGCCAAGTCCTTCACACCCTAAATAACAGTAATGACAATGATATTAACCAATGCTGCCATTTATCAAGAACCACCCTACACACACGCCAGCACTGGAGAGGCACTTCCCATGTTACCTAATTCTCAGCACAACCATTTTAACAAAAAGGTTAAGGGCCTCAGTATCATTCGTCCTCTTGAAAAGATAATTTGACTCTACTCTCTTTCAAAAGTGCACATGAATGCCTTTGAGATGTAAAATTTACCTGTGTAGCCTGGCTGGGTGGCTGTTAGTTGGAGCATTATCTCTTACACCAAAAAGGTTGTGGGTTCGATCCCTGGCTGGGGCACCTATGGGAAGCAACCAATCGATGTCCAGTCACATCAATGTCTGTCTGTCTGTCTATCTATCTACCTCTCAAATCAATAAACATATACCTTGGATGAGGATTAAAAATAATAATAAATTACCTGTGTACCATGGTTCTCCTTTATCTGAAATGTATATTTGGCCTACCTGAGTTATATTTACTTCTCCCACCCTATTTTATATTTACTTCTTTTCACCTATTTTAATCGTTTTGCAAATGTATATTATTGCCCTTTCAATGTTTAATTGTGAGGACAAGAGCCTTTCTCCCCTGTGAATCCCAAAGCCAGTCCCCGAAAGGTATGGGTTATAATCAGATAGAGAAGTGAATTCATAAAACTGATGTTCAAGGACTGAGGCATGGTTGTTGCCTAATTTCTGGCCAATAGTTGCTCCTTTTATTTTATTTTTTTCTGACTTCTTTGATAAATAACCAAAATTATACACGTGTGTGTGTGTGTATGTGTGTATGTGTACATTTAATTGAGTCCCCAATCTTACACCACGCCATAAGTAACTTAGGAAGGCATCCTGAAAGGAAGCAATGTGGAGCTTCCCCTTAGAAAGACCAGGCTCAGCCCGAGCTGGTTCGGCTCAGCGGATAGAGCATCAGCCTGTGGACTGGGGTCCCAGGTTCGATTCAGATGCAGTCAAGGGCACATACCTTGGTTGCAGGCTCAATCCCTGGCCCTAGTCGGGGCATGTGCGGGAGGCAACCAATCGATGTGTCTCTCTCACATTGATGTTTCTCTCTATATGCCTCTCCCCCTCCCTTCCACTCTCTCTAAAAATCAATGGGGTGAGAGGACGAGGAAAATAAGTAAATAAAAATAAAATTATTAAAAAGAAAAAAGAAAGACCTGGGTCCTACATGATGCTTATCTTCTCAGAACCTCAATTTTCTCATCTTAAAATGGGTGTAGTACTCTATTTATCTGTGAAGTTCATCTTGACAATTAGATGAGATTAATACACCCAGAGCACCCAGCACGTGATGTGTGATAAAGGTTATCTCCCCACCTCTTCCCTGGTCATATGCCATCAGAATCAGCTCTAACCCAAACACCCTCTGCTTCTCCCACACCACACTCTTGTTGCTGTCTTGAACTATTTAAAAATCTATTATTTCTCTTTCATTTTGCTGATGTCATGCAGGCAGGAACCAAAGCACGCAGTTAATACATCTGCCCTGAATTTATTTGATTTGAACATTTCTAAGACCATGACTCAAAAACCGTATGTGTAGTTCTTGGGTTTTGACAATTCCCTAAGCAACCTTTGGCACTGGAAGGCCCGTAACATTTAGAATTAAAACCCCAACAGAGTAAAACACTGTTGAAGAGCTTCCTTGATAAAATAGAAGGATCAAAGGACTTAGAGCCAACCAAGGACCTCACCCCAAATCCCAGCCCTGCCACTTATTCCTGGGCGACCGAAGGTAAGGTCACCTCTCTCGCATCAGTTTCCTGGCTGATGAAGCAGGGATGGTGACACCGCCTCCACAGACCAAGAGAGAGGCTGACAGAGAGGCGACATGCAGGGCAAGGCCTGGCTCGCAGCAGATGCTGAGCAGCATTTGTTGAATGAATGCGTTCCTCAGTGCTGAAATCTCCCAAACGCAGCGCAGAAAGATTTATCAAGATGTCAAAAGAAATAAGGCTATTCTATCTACTAAAACAGGCCCTGAGCCCCACCTCCTTGGCCCTGCTCCTCTTCTGTGTTTGGCCTTATAGGATTACAAGAGATTCCATCTGTGTGAAGTGGGTTTGGAAAATGTGAGGTAATAGAACAATGCTCTTCCAGTCACTAATGCCTAAAAAAGGTCCATGCTATGGAACGGATTCGAGTGTAATTAAGTTCGAGTTGACCAGAGTAGACAGGGCTGGTTCTAGAAGGGAGACAGGGTGTGGGCTGATGCTGGTAGGGTCCTGAGGAGCCACTCAGCGGCCCTGGGCTACGGGGGAGGGGAGTCTCGCCTGGCTGTCCTGACTCTGACTCTGTCCCCTGCTGAGGTCAGCTGCATGTGGAAGGAGAGGAAGAGCCTGCACAATCCTTTGCCAGCTTCTCTGGGGTCTCTCTGTGAGGTGGATGTTCCCCGGGGTCGTCAGGGAGGGAAAACATGTTAGAAGAAAACTTTCTACCACTAAACCTATAAATGTACCCTCCTCTGGCTACTGGGGAAGGGAGGCCCCTTGCCCGCAGGATCCACCCTCCTCCTGGGCTCTAGGTCCCATCCCTGCCCCTCGCTCAGAGGACCTGATACCCTCTTTTGTTCCAGTATCTCCACCCTCTTCCTCCCCAATTTCCTCTTCCTCATCAATTTCCTCTTCCCACTAGCACTTTAATGTGCATAAGCCTCTCCCATTAATAATAATGGTGATGATGTTTATGTTCTAGACCTCCAGTCTCCTCCCGCTCCTGCTAGCTCTTTCTTCTCCTTGCAGGGAATGTCTTGAAAGGGCCATCGGTTCTCACTGTTTCAACTGGCTTCCCTCTCCACCTTTCTCCACTGAAATGGCCCTTTTGTTTTCTTTTTCTTTTAAAAAAATACATATTTTTTTATTTCAGAAAGGAAGAGAGAGAGAGAAACATCAATGACGAGAGAGAATCACTGATCAACTGCCTCCTGCACACCCCACACTGGAGATCGAGCACACAACCCAGGCATGTGGCCTGACCTGGAATCCAACTGTGACCTCCTGTTTCATAGGTCAATACTCAACCACTGAGCCACATCGGCTGGGCTGAAACTGCCCTTTTCTCTCCCAGCGACAACGTCCTGGCTAGGCACCCCTCTGCCATATTTGTCACTCTGTCCTTGCCCTTCAGCCATGCGTTCTTCTGGTTGCCTTCTCACCTCTCAGGCCCCCCACTCTCAGGCTTATTTTCTAGTTACTTTTTTCTTTTCTGACACATGTGCCCCACCCCCACCAACATCTGTCCATGCTCATCGTCTACATTCTCCTATGTCTGGGTTCCCTCCGGAAGATCTCATTCACCGCCATGGCCTCAACCGCACGTCTGTTCAGCCCAAGTTTCTCTCCTGAGCTCCAGCCCAGGATATTCAGCAACCTGCTGGCCACACCTTCCGTGGCATCGCACAAACACCTCAAAATCAGCAAGCCCAGACCAAAGGGGTGTCTGACCAGCTGCCCTCCATAAAAAGCACACTACAATGTGAGATTCATTTAGACGTTCATTCTGAC